TGCACAGCAGAATTATTCAACCGTTAAATAAGAAGTTTTAGCAATTGTTTTGTGTGTTTCAAAATTTCAATCCGATCTTTTAAATCAAAATTTTTTAATTAGGGTTGATTGCAAATCAACCAAAGAAATTTTACAAAAGGATGTTAAAAATCTTGCATCAAAGCAAATCTTTGCTAGATGGCAAGCAATTTTAAGTGTTTTTGATTTTGACATTGAATATCTCAAAGGCACTTCTAACTCTCTACCTGACTATTTAACTCGTGAATATTTACAGAATACAACAAATGTCTAAAAAGGAAATTTTGGCCTCAGCCAGAGGTCAAGGTAGAGGAAAACAGTCAGCCTCTTCCAGGACAGAACAGCCTATGGAACCATCATCTCCGGTTCTCAAACTTTTAGAGTCACTGACTCAACCAAATCAAGTTGTAGAGTCATCTACTCAGCACACCAATCAAACCCAAAAACAAACAAAGCTAGATTATGTTATACCAATTTCAATCTCAACCTTTATGAATCTTCAAAACCAAAGTCTTACCTCAATTCCAAACAAGACTTGGGCTGACATCATGTCAGAAGAAGAAGATGAAAAAGAATCAAAGGCTTTGGATCTCATTATTGGAAAAATACCAGAAAAACAGATCCAATCCACCTCTCAAAATCAAATTACAACCCAATCCAGATCTCAAAAAACCCAATCACATTACATTCCCAAGAATAAATTTTGGGTGATTACTCAAATGGAAACTGAATTTTGGGATAAAAACCCAAATAAAATTCCACAAAAGATTTTTCCTGAGGGCTTTCATTTTAAACCACTAGCCCTTAACAAAACCCGAAAGTTTTATGAGTTTATCCTGGTTGATACAGATTCTGTAGCAATCAAGCATTATAAGGATTCCAAGGATCCTTCTAATGTAACTCATACAACCTTCCAAATTTTAAAGGTTTTAACCCCAAGCTAGTTTGGCCAAAACCCGAGTACTACTCGGAAATTTTCAATGCTTTTTGACCCTATTGGGTATAATTACTGGGATTATATTGATGCTTGGAATAAAACATTCTGGTATCAAAATAAGACCAACTGCCATTCGTGGCTGATATATTTCAAACGAAATGTCCAATATAAGTTCCCCAGTTGGTTTCTCCAATGGTGGGACTTCTTTGGTCCAATTGAAGAAATCCTTCCAACCCCAGCAGACGAAGGATTTAAGATCTTCAAATCCATGTATGACAATCAAAATACATGGATCCCAGCAGATCTTCAATTCTTTTCAAGCTTCTCACTATATATCATGGATACATTCATGGAAGTACAAGTTTGGAAAAGCACAACATCCATTGCAACCTCCTCCATTACAAAGAAACTCTTATGTCAAATGGTGGACTACATTTGATGCAAGTAAAGCAAACCCACAAGAAGTAAAAAATTGGTTTGCTTCCAATACAAAGTTCCTAAAACCAGCTGACCCAGAAACATCATTGTTCCTCAATCAGAAAGCAAAAATTACAGCGTCACTGGTTGCTGCAAAAACAAAAGAAAGTTTTGCCAAAAACCTTGAAGAAATTTTAGCTCTACTCAAGAATGAAGGCGAAACTTCAAAATCCTCTTTACCGAGTTCATCAGAGTCTACAACTTCTCTAGATGAATTCTATCAAAATGAAGATGACTGCTTTGGTATAAATCTAGCAGAAATCTGACAATCTTCAATTTGTTTAAAGTATTAATCATGATATATTTATTTAATGGTGGACATATTCACATTACATATTGTGAATACCCTGCACCGCATATCATCGTGGCTATTTACCGATATCATTTTAACCCGACATTGTATGTAGATATCTACCCGGTCTAAAGTGATCAACAGTTCTAGTCAAGATACCGGCACTATAGCAAATCATGGTCTGAATGAACAGTTCCAGTCAAGATACTGGCACTGTAGTGAATAGTTCAAGTCAAATAACTTGTACTGTTGAAATAGTAAATCTTTAGTCTTTAAAAGGAGGCCTCGTCCATGTTGTGAGGTACCCTTTCATTTTAGCACATTTTGGAGAGAGAGTTCAGATAGAGAAGCTCTGAGATATTTCTTTGTAAGCTTTTCTGTTTATAAAATCTTTCTTTCTTCATTTGCTTTCTTTACTTTCTTGCATCATTTATAGAGTTTGTGAAAACCTGGGATTTGTAAGCCTGATTTGTCAGGTGTGCCCTTGATACCCAGTATTGTGCGGACTACTGCCATGTAAATCTGGTTCATTGTTGCATATTTCCTCTTTCCCCTTTACCCTCCTAGATCCACTTCGGGAGAATTATGTTACCGTTATTTTTCTCGTAAATTAATTACAAACAGGAATCGTTATGAACTAACTTTAGAACTTGAAGACAACATCGTCAAATTATTATATATATATAATATATATATATATATATATATCTTATAATAGAAACAACTTCTACAATATTTTCTCTAAAAATTTCTTCTGATAAATTTCTATATACTAATTTTATAAATTAAAATTAAAATTATATTAATTGTATGATATAACAACATATTAATTTAAAAAATAGTTACAACATCATAAAATATTAATTACATTAATTTTAAATTATTGTAGTCTTAAAGTAAAAATAATTATAAAATTTATATAAAAATATTAATTATTAAAATTGACATAGTATTATAAAAATTATAACACATTAACAAAATTAGAATTAAAAACTTTTCAATTGTTTTTAGAAATTTACTTACATTTATGTCAAAAAAATTTATAGTATATATATTTTTATTTACTTACATTTATAAGAAAATATTTTAATTTTTTTTTTTACATTTAAGCATATTTTGATAAAAATAGAATTAAAATATCTTTTCAATTTTTTATTATTAGAAAGTTACTTAGAGAGTTAGAGTATATATAATTTTATTTATTTACATTTATATGAGCATATTTTGATATTTGTTTTGACACTTAATCATATTTTGATATTATGTAGTAAATCATTGTATTATTTTTTAAAAAGTAAATAATAAAAATATATTTAATAATTGTTATTGTAAAAATAAACATATATAAAAGAAGAAGAAAATTCCGCGTAAGAGATGGATGAATATATTTAGTAATTGTTATTGCTCCAAAATCTTTACAAATCATGATTACTTGGAAGTTTTTTAAAGAGCATTAAGAACTCAATTGGTGAAAAAATTATGTTCAAACCATTTTTTCTAGCACTTTAAATTTTATATCGAAGGACTTCTGTATTTTATCATAACTTTCATTTAACAAGTTTTATTTCTTGTTTAAAAGATTAAAATTATTTTAAATAAAATAAAATATACAAAAAATTAAGAAATCTTCTTTATATTTACTAACATACACGTCGTGACTCAGTGAACTATTTTTAAAAATAATAAGTAATAAAAATTATAAAATAATGAGTAATTATTAAAAATATAAGCAGTTACTTATAAAGTAGGTAGTTACTTACAAAATGAGGATAATAAAATTTATGTGAGTGGATTAAAAATGATTATAAAAAAAGATAAAACAATAAAAAAAATATATACATAAAAAATATTTATCATTTTTATTATAGTTATTATAGATACATATGTATTTTTGTTACGCTATAATTGGTTAACCAAGGAGACCTGAGATGATATGTTAAATAGAAAACATGAGTGAAAAAAATATTATTGCGCATGCAAGAATGACCTTTGGGAAAGTCGTAATTAAACGTTATAAGTTTCAACGTTAGCGTTTGTGATTATTATTAATAGTATTGTTGGGTTTAATTAACATTGGTAGCGATCGAAGGTGGAAAGAG